AACCACTTTAGAGTGATAAATAATTAATTTTCATTTTTAACTAAAGAGGGGCATTATAGTTATTTAACAATATTCAACAATTCCTAATTAGGTCTTATGTCCTGATTAAGAATTTGTTAAAAGTGTAGACCTCAATTTAAATTTAAATATTTCAGCAGGATTTAGTTAGGATTTTCCCTAATATTAAACCCCCTCGTTATCTTAGATCAAGCAAAACAATCAAGAGTAAAATACTTTGACCTCCCTTGTATTTTGTCTTAATGACACAAACCTCCCCTTTATTTTGAAAACATACACTTGAATCCAAACTGTTAACATCGTTAAGAATATTTGAAAAAGAGTTTTTTAATTCAAATTTATATTGAAATACTTTTTATTTGCTAAATTACCCTTCATAATACTAAATCCTAAAATCTTGGTTAAAACTATATCGAAGAATTTAAGGTTTTCTCTTGTACCTCAATTTTATTTTTTTACTTTTGAAAATTGTTGTTTGTTTAATGTTTTTATCGCATTGGGCTAAAAAATTAAGTAATCTAGTTAATGCAAACATCAATTTAAATGATTTATATAAGTTTCCAAACTCGCATAATTTATATTATGTGATAAGAAAATAAGCATTCAAAATATTTTCTAACCATTTAAAAAAAATTAAGTTTCAATATTTCATGAGGAACTAAAATTATATAATTCTATAATATAATTGAAATTAAAAATTTTATAGCATATTAAAAATTTGAAAATACATGTATTATAATTATTTTTTGTTGTATCAAAAATTATTATTTTTAGATATAAATGTTTAAATAACATTTATGTTCAAGAGGGGTATTTTAGTCAAATAAAAATTTAAAAGTCAAACTTAATAGTCAACTAATGGTTGGTTGGATGGATGAAAATTAAATCTTAAAAATATAAGGAAGGTTTGTGTAATATATATTTTAATTTGAAAGGAAGTTTATATATGTTTTCAAAATAGAAGGGAGGTTTTTGTAATTTAAGTAAAATAGAGAGGCAGTCAATGTATTTTACTCAACAATCAATGAATAATTTTCAGAATTAGAGCGAAAGAAAGGCGAAAGCTAGTAAAACTTCATGTGTTATAGACAATAAAGAAGGCAAATTTAATTAACTTACACGATTGATTTATATTCTTTCTCTTATTTATCTCAGGATCTTTAGTGCATATAAGTGTCTTCTCAATCACTTAAACACTTATCCTAATCTTATTACAAAATTCTTTATGTTAATTAGCACAAGTGATGATTACCGCGCTACTCCGTTTAAATTACGCAAGGTCCTTAGGTATATTCCCATCCTAAACACAAATCAATTCGCAAGGATCAATCCTAAAATTCAACCCGTTAAAAACTTTTTCGTTCATCCAAAAATAAAAACCTGCATTTTAAAATTGATTTGATATTTTTGTTTTCATTATATGTGGAATCCATCTAAAATCTTTATATAATAAATAAGATCCAATAGGAAAAAAATAGTGGATATGACGTAAAGTTATGTCTCCTAATGCAAGTGACTATTTCAAATTTTCAATCCCAGTAACCATTCCAACTGCTATACTACTCTGATTATCTAGGTACCCACTTCTTTTATGGTGGTCCTCTAGGAGAACCTAATTATCCAAATCAAGCGTCGTGCAACACATGACGTTAGCGGAATTCATAGTCGGATTCCATAAGTTTGGTCCAACCTAAACATATATAATCATTTTCCCAGCACTAGAAAAAGGGGGAAAAAACACTATATATTATATGTTTGGTTTATCCACGAACATGAAGATGAGAACCCAGAAGTTGAAAGATGCAATAAACCTGCAAGAAAGATGTCACAACTCTCTTTATAACCTATTATATATAAATTGAAACCAATATAAGTCGTTTCGTAACACGTCTGGGTAAAAATTTAAAATTCAGGATTTTACTGTTTATCATGTCTGTACACTGTTCATCTGAAAATGAGCCAACTTTAAAAATTCATAACTAATTCTAGAAAAATAAAAATGATGTGGTTTCAATTTTCACACAAAGATTGCTAAGATTTATCTGGGGGTAAAAATATTCATTGGACTGAATTCCATCTAAAAAAGCACCAGAAAAATCGACAAGATGTATGGTTTATTTGATCAATTTTCCAATTTTCAGTATTTTTGTCCAACTTTGGAAGGACATAACTCTTAGCACAAAAATTCAAATTTGATGGTTTACCACTTGATTTAAAGCTAAAAATGAGATCTATAAGCACATAAAATTTCTTGCCCAAATTCCAACAATTGCTTATTATTTCATGTGTCATAAGTTTGGCCTCTTTTAGGGAGATTTTATCCCCTAATGCTACTTCCTTTAATTTATCTCCCATTTTCCTTTTTCCTACACTCTTTTGACATTATACTATTCAATATTCCAATATTTAGGCACATCATACAAACATAATTTACATCACATATCATTCATAATCCATTATATTCTCAACATAAAGTTCATTAATACATTACACAACATAACATAATGGCATCAATTCCATAATTGCTTCTCTATCCCAAAATCATTTCCTTGCCCTTTCTATCGGATGAATCATTCCCTATTTGAGACATAATTTAACATAGAAGGAATGAGATTTCCATAAAATCTCAGTAGCATTTGGATTACAATTATCATGCAAATCAAGCAAGTTATCATGTGACATGTTATCATATCTCAAGGCATAATCAACCACATAAAATCATGCTTAATGCCATGCTAAAAGAGGAACATCAACAATACCACAATGACATAATCTAATGCATTTGGCCAAAGCATAAACCAATGTTATTCAACCAATCCATGCCACAACACAAGTTCCTCTATTCAAGCAAACAACAAATCACATTAAACAAGCAAGATTAACAATCAAATTATAATTCAAAGCTACCTTTTATCACTTGTCCAATTCGGTTACCTCAAGGAACAATGATCTTCCTTGATTCCTCCTCACAAAGCCTATTAAACCAAGCATAAATAAAGGCCACATTAACCACTAAACTTAAATACAACACTTTAACTTCAACTTAACAATTTCCCCCCGTTTTTTTTATTTTTAACAATATGATTCCTCCTTTAGAATTAATCATCCCATGGCTCAATCATACACAATTTTTCATGAGGAATCCAATGGTGCAATCAGATTTTTGAAATTCACACTCCTTCCCCATGAACTTCACTTGGCCGAATAGGGGGTATTTATTTTCCAAAAATTCTATTTTTGATTCCAATGATATTAAACACTTTCCAACAACATATCCCTACACAAAAACATGTTTTAAAGCTATTGGAATCATAAAATCAAGCCAAAATCATCAGCTCCTACATGAACAATGCTGACCGAAATTCCTCCCCTTAAACCCTAACTTTGATTTCATCCAAAAATCCATCCACACACCACTTAATCTTCCTTATTCCACCTGATTATTAAGGTTTCTATCTTTCCCTAAGCATCACATGGCTGGACCGAATTTTACAGTATTTTTCCATAATTTTCCAAGCCAAAATCCTAATCCAATCAATGTAAAACTTAAGGATAATGATGCTTAGACATACTTTAATGTTTCCTTGGTGTAAGTTGGATGATTCCTTGCCCAAAACACTCAATAATTTTGAAGGAATAGGGCTGGAGCTACAGTGACAGAACCTCCCCTTGTTTTTCCAATTTTCCAACATTTTTTTGTATTTTCTAAGGGGGTATTTGTAGAAAAATTCCATCTGCCCTCACCCCTCTTCAATTGGATGAAATTGGACACCTGATAAGGTGTATGTGACAGCCATCAAGTGTCCAAAATATTCAGATCACTCCATGTGGCTTTTCTCTAGATTTTTCCACAAAAATATCTCTTAATTTCACATTTTATTTAATAAAAATGGAGGGACCTGGAAGGTGCATGAAATTGGGCCCTTATTGGGTGCAATGTGGGCCCCACAAAAGGTTTGGGCTGGTCCAAAAAGATGGCCCACAAACCAAATCACTATCTCAAACCAATTAGAAACTTTATCAGTTACTATTCACTAGTAACATTTCATAATTTTTTCAAACCTCCAAAAATTTATTTCTCTCCATGATAATTCACCTTTTAATATGAAAATATGATCTGAAAATTTTCAGAATTTTTTGCCACCTCTAGGTATTTATTTTGAATTTTCTCCGATTAGGCCTCTATCGGTAGTTCTGAGAGAAAATAAATTTCCTAAAATTAATTCCTAAGCTTTCAAGGCCTAAAACCAATTTTATAAATTCTAACAAATATTTATATGATTTATCCATTAATCTCCAAAATTTATTGAGACCTCTAACTACTTAAGATAATTATTTTCTTTCAATTTCCCGATAATTTCCCGAAAAACCACTATTTACGGAAAATTCCGTAGTAAATCATTTTCACCGAAATTCCATCTTTTGGGTCTCAACTGAATTTTTAAAACCTCTACTCTACACTTTTCCTATTTTTTTGAGAATTTTCTGGAATTTTTTTCAAATTTTTCCATTTTGCCTTTCTTAGACTGATAGTTATGAAAATACCTGCCCAGACCTTATCGGGATTTCACATCAAAAGTTGTTTCATTTCTATGTCTAGTTTCTACATTGATCCTCATCCCAATTTTTGATTCCCCACAACCAGGTAAGAATGTTTGGGATGTGACAAAAGATGCCTTGTTAAGTTGAAAGCTGTTTTCCATGTTTCAAAGGCATGCTTACTTATTGTCTTGTTAAACTGTCAATAGACGTATTTTGGATGAAAAATCTCCTTAACCAGAAGGATAATTATGTAATTTCCAAAAAGCTTAAGTCATCCTATAAATTTCTTCAAGATCGACTCTTGAATCTCCAGGTCAGAATTTTCACTTAAGTAGTTGCTGGCTTCATATCTCTCAGCTTTCATGGCGTATGAACTAGCATATAAGAAGACTTGGCTGCTAAGCTTTGTCTGCTTTTTATTGTCTTCTGTGCACATGACGATGGCAGAACAAGACACAATCAGCAAGGCCAAGACTGGCAATGGTAGATTTGCTGAGCAACTTGAGGTTAGGAAGCTTCTGAAGAAGTTGAATGAACCAGCTGTTAAGTCTATTCAGGTATCCAACTCATCTTCTACGACTGGTTTTTCGGTCTGCTGTTTTTAATTTCTTTTTCATATATATAATTGTTTCTTACCTGTATATGTTTGTAGCGTTGGTAGAGAAGAAAGAAGATTACGTTAAGGGTTAGTGGTTCATGTTCAGGAATACATATATTTACACACAAGTATGCACGTATATAATAGAATTAATCAAGCAATTTGTAATATTTTTCATCGAGTTTTCACTTAAAGAAGAAATTATTTCTTGTTTTTTTAATCATAACAGTACATAATTTACGATTGTTTGGATTAATTTGGTATTAAAAAGAGAAGAGTCATGATGGTGACATAATTGACTGCGTGCATATTCTGAATCAGCCAGCTTTCGATCATCCAAAACTGAAGAATCACAAAATTCAAGTAAAATTAATAATTTATCTAAGTTTATGTTTTAGTTTTATTGGATTTCATAACTAATAATTCTGAGGCCAATTATTTCCTATTCTATGAAGGTGAGGCCAACATTTCTTCCAAAAGGAAGAAGGTTAACTGAATCAAAGCCAATTGCTCAAATGTGGCACCACAGTGGAAGTTGTCCTGAAAGAACCGTTCCTATAAGAAGAACAACAAAAGAGGACATATTGAGGCCATCAGGATCTTTCCAACAACATGGAAAGAAGGATAACAAGAGCATCCCAAATCTGTCCGGATTATTATAATCATCTACGGATAGCCACGAGTTACCTTTATTGCCGTAATGTTATCAGTTTATTAGAATGTTTGAAGTGTATATTATATTTAATATGCAAAATATACGTTGGCGTGTCAGGAGTGGATTGACTTGACTTGGATAAAGTTGGGTTAAAAGATGGAATATAAATGGAAGGACCCAGCATAAACTTATTTCCCTAAGATTTTGGATTCAGATATAGTGGGAGACCACTTATACGCATAATCCCCCAGTTCCTAACCCAATTTGGTCTCTCCCCTTTTTCAGGATTTCTCAGTTTAGATTTTGCAGGCCCATTTTTGGGTTTCTCCCTGCAATCCCAACAATTTACTCACTAAATTTAACATATGACTTAGAAAACAATATAGTTTGGTGTTTACTAATCAAACTTGTGTTGTTGGAGAGATTGGATGTAGGTAGCAGAGTCGAACCAGGATTAATCAAGGTACTGAAAACCGGACCAGCAATTGAATCGGTCAAGGCAATGGGTCAAGGGTCAGTAGGTTAGACCGGAGTCAAACCGGTGATAAATAAAGAAATAAAAAATAATTTCAATGTTCACTAAGAACTAGATATCAATTTAATATCTTGAATCACTAGTAAAATAATCACATCCTTACAATTTCTTATAATATCACACTACTAAAATCACTAAATATTCATCCCAACAAAATATCACAATAGATATATGATAACAAAATATTTCTCCCTATAATTATTCAATCATTAGGTCCTAATTATCAACAGCTTTTAAAAAAAAATCATCAAAATATTTTTTTTAAACAAAAAGGGGGACCCAGGTTAACCCACCAAATCAGGCGGGTCACCCCCGGGTCAGTCCAAGTCACCCCGGTTCAGTCCGAGTCACACCGGATCACCATGAACCTGGTTCACAGACTCAACCGGATCGATTACCTGGCTGGTTCACCAATTTCTGGTCTAAACTGGCCGGTCTAGTCTGGTTTTCAATACTGTGGGATTAATTATAACTGAAGGTTTTCACTTCAGACTAAAAGGAGAGCTTGTTTGTGTGTGTTTGTATGTTAAATACGTACATTATATTCGTCTTTGATGGCTTTGGTGCCTCTAGTATGCCACAGTGATAACTCATTATTTTGAATATCTTGAAAGAATATTTTGAGTGATTTTTGGAGAGTTTTTTTAGAGAGTTATCAATAGGATTTTGGATGATTTAAAAGAGCTTTGAAAAGAAATTAATTGTGAGCATTATTTGGGTGATTTTATTATAAATATCTTAGTTTGAAATAAATAAAAATAATTAATATTAAGTTTAAGATTTAGTTGATTTTATTTTCTATTATTTCGATTTCTTATATTTTATTTCGTTTCCTTTTATTTTGTTTGCCTTTTCATTTTAATTTTTCCTTCTTTTTTTTTGTTTTATTTTCTTCTCCCTCTTTCAGCAAGCATCAACGCCCTGTCTAGGAAATTCTTGAATGGGATCATGGGGAGCACGTGCTGATGGTGGAGATGGGGGACGACAACGTTTTGGAGAAGCAATTTTTGAATCGTTGAGACCTGGAGGGCGTTGCGGGATTTGGGGGATATTCATCTTGAAGGCGCCCAAACAGGAGGGTCGGAGACTGAAAGCGCCGAACTGGTGCGGAGCAGTTCTGTATCATCTTCTTCTTCGCTGGATTCTGAAGAGAGACGCCGAGAAGAATAGTGAGGAAGGGAGTGAGGCGCGACTGGAACTTCTTCTCTGAAGGTGGCCGACGGGTTCTGCAGGAGGAGAAGTTCGACACTGTTCACAGCAAGGAGACTGGACCTCATCTTCTTCTCTTGTTCTTTGGACTCGACTGGTTCAGTGAGCGAGAGAGGGAGGAGGCAGACATTGCGAGAGGCCGAATCTGGTTTTGAGCAGAGGAGCACGAGCTGTGATAGGAGCTTCGAACAGTGTTTTGTTTCCAATCTTTCTTTCTTTCTATCATGATTTTGAATCTGGAATTATTGTTGCTGAATTGAGATTGCTTGAAGTCATGTGTGGCCAGTGTGTTTTACAGCTTAGAGAAACTATGAACTTGTTAGTGGATTAAGCTTTGTTTTCAATGAACCGGGGATGCTTAATATTAAATTTTAGTTACTTAATCTTGTTTTTTATTTGTCCATTTGATGACTGGCCACCATTAATTGTGAATTTGAGAATTAAAGTTTTCCTTGACAAAAGGGATTTTAATTAAGCTCTTAGATTAAGTAATATGGGATTGGATGATAATCTAATTTGTGATTAGGATAGAATTATATCTAATTGTCCCGTATAATTGTTGATAAGTGAGACCAAATTGTTTAGCCTCTTAGGTAATTGTGTGAAAGATTACATAATTAATTTAAGAGAGGGTTATAAGTGGACTGTCAGGCACTTGTAACTAATTGAACTCTAGATTAACAAAATTAACATTAAAGCTAATCAATTCAGTGAAACAAGGTTTAAAAAGCTAGCAAGGGATTAGTGACTCTAGGTTGACCTTTTAATATTTGCTTAAATTAATTGAAGAAAGCTTTGTTTTGTTTTATTTTAATTTCTTTTCACCTAATTTCATTAAATCCTGATTTTTCTCAACTTAAACAAAAGAGAATTTTTATTGCCTAATCACTATTATTTGAGTTTTCTGTGGGATCGACCTTGATTTGCTACTATCTATTTTTGTGACCCGTACACTTGCGGTGCGTTTTAATATTTGGTAGCATCACACAGCTGAAGTGAAGGGAGATGAATATTACGGAGCCAAAGCATTCATAAACATTTGGAAGACAAGTGTTCAAAGACGCAATGAATTTAGTCTCTCTCAAATTTGGATTATGAATCAAGATGATACTGATAATGCCGAAAGCATCGAAGCAGGTTGGCAGGTATTCTATAATTTCTCTCACATATCACACGTACGCATCATCAGTACATTTCAACATGTCTATTCAAGAAATGTATTAACTCTGTACGTGGTACGCTGTTCCTTGATTTGGACAACTAGATCCATCCAATGCTATATGGGGATGATAAACCAAGACTTTTTGCATATTGGACAGTAAGTTCAAATTTCTTATCAACCCAATTTCTTGTTTCTTCACATCATTCGCTTTTTGTTGTTTTTTTCAAATGGATTATTTCTTCATCCCACAGAGTGATTCCTATGAACATACTGGCTGTTATAACCTAAAATGTCCTGGCTTTGTTCAAGTTTCCAATACGGTATTGATGGGAGCCACCCTCCAACCATTATCTGTCGATGGTGGTTCTCAATATGGAATCTCCATCCTTATCTGGAAGGTATAGCTTTTTTTGGAGATAGAACTAACATAAATCCCTTTTTAAAACAATCATAATATAGATCCTCATAATGCCATCTGATTTTTAATTTTTGTCTTGGTTTAATGTAAACTAACAATAAACGTAATACTAATTAGTCAGCAGGATCCACGAAGTGGGAACTGGTGGATGAGATTTGGGGATACAGATGTGGGATACTGGCCAGCTTCTATGTTTGATTGCCTGTCTGAGAGTGCATCAATAATACAGTGGGGAGGTGAAGTGATGAACAAGAAATCTGAAGGGAAACACAAAACAACAGAAATGGGAAGTGGATATTCCGCTCGAGCAGGTTTTGGGAGGGCTAGTTTTTTCAAGGACATTTCCATTGTTAATGAAGAAAATTATTTTGTGACTCCCAAGTGCTTCAGCACTTTTGCTGGCAAACCCATGTGCTACGACATTGTCCTAAGTGATTATTCTGATGATTGGGGTGCCAACTTCTACTATGGTGGTCCCGGAAGAAACCCATTTTGTCAAACTTAATGTTAAACTAGCTATTTGACAAAATCAAGATAATCCCAGCTAGCTAGCTCGATGGGAAACTAGATATTAGGAGACTTTGAAAAGTCTCTAAAGCTGTGTACTTAGGAAATAAAGGAATTCAATTGTAGCATGGGGTGAATTCCCTAACCTCATCATTAGTACTATATACCAGGCTTGGTGGCATATTTTATAAAATAAAGCCTAATGAAATAAGGCTAGATAAGATTATAATGCTATGTAATGTTTGGTGTGACATTGTATAGTATGTATAATGTTGTCCTATATATGTTTGATTAGGTATGTTGTATGCTTTATGTAACATCCTTATTTTTATCTATTTAATTAAATTTATAAATAAATATATTTTAGTATTAAGTTAATTAAAAAAAAGTTAGATATAGGCAAATTATTATTATTATTATTATTATTATTATTATTATTATTATTATTATGTTAATAATGTTTTTGTGTGTGATTGTGTGTGTGTGTGGATGATATTCTAGAAAATTATACCACGGTATAGAAGTCCCACATCGACTAATCTTTAGAGTGAAGGAGTTTGAGGAGCCTACATATAGAAGATAGTAAGTGGAGTTTGAAGTGAGTAAATAATTTTCGCACATATCTGAGGTAGTCTCAGAAAAGTGCTAGTTTTGAGTTTATTAACCGTTGGATCGGACTGAAATTTGGTCAGCCCATTTGGAACATCCAAATCGTTAATTTCAACGGTTGGATCATCATTTTGATCTCCGAGTTACAAGTTATTAGGTACGTCTTTAACTTAAATCTTTTGGATTTAGCAGATAGAGTTTTGAATAGTAAATTAGCATTTTTAAAGTTCATTCACCGTTAGATTGAGCTATAATTTGGAGGATAGTGTCATGATAGATAGAAAATTAAATTCAACAGTTAGATTAAGGGTTTAACTTTTGTAGTGAGAATAACTTGGTTCGTACTAAGTCTATTTGTCTAAGTCCTTCGAAGATGGAATATAAGTTATAAATTTAAATTTTGTCTATTTACATTATGAATTCGATGATTCTAATAATATAATCTAATAATTAAAGGATATTTAAGTAAGGAAAATTTAAGAATCAAGTCTAAATCATATATATATGTTCTCATTTCAAACCTTAGAGAAATGTCTTTTAGGCTAGAGTTTTGAGTAAAATTTAAGCTTTTAGAGGAGTAGTTGGAGGCTAGAATTTTGTGAGTAGCCTACTCTAATACTATAGAGATAATATTTTAATTTTGTTTGTAGATATAAACTCTATTGTGGCATTTTCGAGGTTGGACTCTGGTTGTAGTTGACTGTTAGCTAGGAGACCAGGTAACTAAATTTTTATCTGTTGCATACTCTAGTATAAAGTTGGTGAGCGGCTTTATAACTAATTCTATAAAAGTATATTACATTTTGTATGAACTGTCTTGTGGGTTGCTATTTTAAAAAGGATTGACATAGTTTGTATTGCAAGAAATTGGTGATCATGATTATGATGTGTTATTATGAAATTCCGTTGATTATACATATAAATGTGTCATTTTGAACCCTGTGCATCTATTTTGGGTGGGGAAAGGAGATAATTGGAGTTATTGAGATTCATATACTTGCCACGTCTTATTAGCCTCCATATGGAGCTCTATGGTTGGCTGCTATTATTGTCCCACTAGTTTTTCGAGAGACTGCGACACCCCACTAGTTCTTCGAGGGGGGACCCATGGTTCACCGAGTGCTCTGTGGTCTTTGGCCGGTCCACATCATTCGTGTGGTGAGCTTGTCAGAGTTGCCAGTCAAATGGAAAGAACTTAGCCCATGGGTCTAGTTGGCGGAAATAAGGAGGATATAAAGATGGATTTGGGTTCAGGAATTGCATATGACGTGGGATATTCATTAATATTTATATCTTTTAAATAAATGACAAGTGTGTTATCTCTTTTGAAATGTATCAATTGCATGAGATTGGTGGAAATATTTGTCTTGTATGATTATTGTGAGTTTAAATGTTTAAATAAATGTTTATCAACTATTATTAACTCTGTGTATCCCACCTGACACCTCACTAGCCCATGCTAGGGTGTGAGATATGTAGGGATTTAGTTACTGAGACGTTGTCTCACTCCTGTTGCTTTACCATTTTCAGGAAACAATACGTTAGCGGGACCTTCGGGGAAGACTCTTGAGGCTCAATAGCTGTAGCTGACAGTGTAGAGCTTCTGGACCTTATTTTATGCAATCTTTTCGTATATTGCCACGCATCAGGATTGCATTCATTTGGGACTTATTTTACCTTCTCATATTTTTATGTCATTTGACTTAGTGAACGCATTATACCTTCTATCTTTGGTTTATTTTGTCTGAACATTAGACTAGAGTGCTGATAGTGGGCCCGAGGCCCTTAGATTGCATGTGATTGAATTATTGTGGATCCATGATGTGACAATGGCAATTTTTGCAAGTTTAGTTGTTGCTAGTATTGACTAAGATAGTCAAGTCTAAACTGCTATTATAATTTATCATTCAAAGGGGTATTGTTTTATAACCATGTTTGCCATGATTACAAATATAGGTTATTCTTTTTTTTCTAACAATGATAGCCTTAATTAAGGTCGAATGCTTTTCTATCATGGTTAGCCTCTTAATGATGTGATTGCTCTTAAATAACCATGATAGGGTATGTTTACTAGTTTTAGTCCTTTCTATCATGGTTAGTTCTGGTTAGTAAGTGATGGTGTTACCCTTTAACGGTGGATGAGATAAAAAGGTTTTGCTTACACACACACACACAAATGTGAAAAAATGAGTAGGCTCTATAATGTGATACATGACATAGTGTAAATATTGTATGAAATACTACCTCCTGTCCTAATTATATGAACTCATTTATAGTCTATAAACAAGGTCTTATAATTAGGACCAGAGGTAGTATTATCTTCATAGTAACTACCTAAAACTATTGGTTAGGATTTGTTGTATATAGTTGCAGTCTTGCAGAATATATATAGTTAGCATGTAACATATAATTAAGTCTTGTATATATACACAAAAAAGTCCTGTGATGATGTATACTTAATCCATTGAGTTTTAGAATTAACTGATCATAGGAATGGTATTTTTTTCATTACCATATTACTTGTCATAACCTGTACATTTGCTGTGTGGACTAGGAACCAGCTTTTATTTGCAATTAATTCAATTTTTTATTTATTCTATATGTTCTTCTATTTTATTCTAACATTTTTTTGTATTTTATTCTATAATTCGTATTCGATTTTTATTATTATTTAATTTTGACTTTCCATTTTTGCGATCTCCTTTTTTCTATTTAAAAATTCAAGAACATTTAGCTAAAAAGGAAGTTAAAATATCAGCTTTGTTAAATCATTCTATACCTAAGCATTAGAAACAACTGAAGATACGATTCTCATGCCAAAACAAGCCTAATGGATGCATCTTATTCAAGGAACCACTCTTCATTTGTTTTAAATTTTCCCATTGCCAATAAAGCAGCAGGAGATTTCTCTATAAAAGCCATTCCTTTGAAACCAAACTGTATGGTCAATTGACATCAACATTATTACAAACAGTATTTATAATTGATTTATATATTAATTTTTATCTTTTATATATATATATATATATCAAATAATCTATCTAAAGTTTCATAGAGATGATAACAAGCGATCCTCCAAGTGAAGGAAATTAATTAGTCGATGAAATCAACCAATATTAATATTATTATATGTTCACGCATCTCATCCTTGATATAGAGTGCAAAGGTGAAAAATTAAATTTAAAATTTAATATATGTGCAACACATGCACCACACCACAATTTACAATGGAAAGTGTTCATTTTTCCTCAAGAAGGTTCAATGAAATTAAATATCACCAAGTGGATGATGAGTCACCTGACGAATCCTATGCCAGAGATTTTAAACTTATATATTATTGCAAATTTTTGTGGCAGGCAATTGGATGGCCAACTGTAAGTTAGATTAACAGGAAACATTGGGTTTTATTTTTTTTTTTAGTTTATTCAATCGAACAATCTATCTGTTCCCCATATTATAACTATCAGATATGATTAGCTGAGATAGTGGGTACTAGTCTTCTTTGGTTCAACTCCAAAAACATGTATTGAAAATTGATTTGATATATTTATCTTCATTATATGTCCAATCTGTCTAAAATCTTTATGCAATATAGATATATGTAGGATCCAATCGAAGGAAATTGCTAGATGACGATATGTATAAGATAAAGATCACCAAAGTTGTGTCTCCTAATGCTAATTACTTTTCAATCACATTGACCATTCTAAGTGCCACAATTAATATATTGTGCCCAATGGTTAATCTGATGATTGGGGCACCCAGTTCTTTTATGATGGTCCTCTGAGAAACAAATATCGTTGCAAGTAGTTACTAATGTTAGCGTGTTTCATGATTTTTGCTTTGTGAGAATTAAGATAAATTATAATTTCTGTAGTAAATTAAAATAACTTATAATTTCTTTGTCAATCTAAATTTCCAAATCAATCAACAGAAAAATACTTGAATCTAAATTCCTTTATTTAATTTGGGTTAGTTTTTATCTTTGAAAATTTTGGTCATTGCCTTTTATCTCAATAATTAAACTTTTTTTTTTTTTGCCTACACACTAGTACTATCCTATTAGAGACAATCCTATCTAAAACATGGTTGACCATTAAACGTAAGCACTTCTTTAAGCAATGATTCAAACATCATTCTCTCTTCTGCGTTTTGGTTACATATTCTTTCTTCAATTTTATCTAAGTTCTTATATTTCTTTTCCATTTTGTTTTGATTACAAGTTTATGAAAAGATAATCCATCGATCTAAACTCTAAAATATTGCTTATAATTATTAGAAATTGGGATTGAGACATATTATGGGTATTTCAAAAAATGAAAGCATCCAAATTTCCTAAACTCTCTTTATATCCATAACAGTTGGAGCAATATGCCAATTTCCTACATC